TTACTATTGTTATTATCACTATCACTACTATGCTGTTATCATGTTAAAATAGCTAAAAATGTATATTATTTATTATCCAATTATCCATAGATGTAGATAGCCTATCGGCTAGGAATGTCTTATTGTAAATATTAATAAAAATAAAAATAAATAATTATTTTATTAATTTAACATAAAATTGTATTGATTCTAGTGAAAATTTTGACCAAAGATAAAGGTACATCTATAATTTATTAATCAGTAACATTTTCGATAAAGCTGTGCTCGGCTCACTTTTCGTGGTTCATTTAAGTTTGGTACCTTTCATAATAGTTGGTGTAATAACTAATAATACGTGAAAATAATAAATTACAAAATTTTGGCGATGTGAATGTGATAATGTCGCATAAAATATCTTATAATATGCTCAATCGTTTGCTAAAAAGGTACCTATAATATTCTCAATCGTGCTGCACCGCAATCGTTCACCCCTAAACCAGTAGATAAATATTAATATTCTTAAACACTACATTGTCGTTGTTTGGTGTGATAAATAATCGAGATAAATACTAATAAATAATAAATATTCTTAAGACAACGTAAAACGCTTTTACTGCAACGGCAAGTTTCTTTAAGAAATATACCCACTTACTCTGAGTAGGCTACTCATCAAATGTCTCGAATTGTAATACAGCTACATGTGATCTAATATKKGTACGCCCATCTACGTACGATAATTTTTTAATTATAGGAATTACGGATAAAACTGTTTAGTAGGTATTATGTACATAATATGATGGTCAAACACTATCGGATGTCGGTGCACGATCAATTTACACATTGRTGTTATTCGATGGTTTTGTTCTAGAAAAATAAATGTTTATTTTAAATAATATTAAACAACTCATTATTGAATGATTGATTATATCATTGTTTGAACCAATACTTTAACGTTTTACATATATAAGATGCATAAACGTGTGACTGTCAGACGATTAAATCACTATAGATGTAAACGTAATTGATGTTATTTTGATGAGAGTGCAATATCATACTTGCACTCAAAATCCTTGGCACATTAATGTTATTAAATCATTGTTGTCRCCAAAATGTAATCAAATTTAAAAATAAACCCTACCTATAACTGTATTGGAATTTTTTTTCATTACTTAAAATGTACATGTATCATCAAGAACATTGTGCAATTTTCATATTTACTTAAATTGTCTCTTTTGATAAACACATTATAATTTCTTATGATAAAAGTTAGATATTATATGTTCTTCAG